GTCCGAAATTTCTTTAAAATCAAAGTGGGGCGTTACAACGTGTGTCCTAGCATTGTCTAGTTGGACATAAATAGTTTCTCCGGAGGTAGGCCATTTGTTAATAATAGTTGGGATAACCTTTTCAATAAAAAACGCTTTCACATTCTTTCTTTTAACATATGTGACCGCTTCATCTCCATCGTGCCAGCTCGCATGTTCCTGTTATTTCTTTAAGCTAGTTGCTCTGTTACAAATGCCCAACATCCAACTTCGCCTGAAAATGCTACTCTTTCTTCACCATCAAATCTAGGACGAGTCGTAGTTGCTAGAAACATGACTTTTTCAATGTTATTTTTACTTTGGCATGAACGGTGAGATTCTTCTTCATTGTCGAGCAGGTAATACATTTGCTCATTCTTTTTCATGTGAAACCATTTCTCGTCGATGTGCAGATAGTTATACATTCCCTTAAGCTTTGGCTCGTTCAATGTTGTGCTTTCATCAAGCATCGATAAACAAAACTCTAGTCGTGATGTTTTGTTTTCGTCTTCCAAATGTGGTTTGATGGAACTTGAGTGACGACGTAGAATGCCTCGCTTGAAAAGGCTGTATAATTTGGAACAACTAACTCCTAAAGCATTAGAAAGAGATGCAAGTTTTGTTCGTTAATTCCACTCTATCTGTTGAATTCTATTTAAATCCACCTCAATTCATTTACGACCACAGTTTCGTGCCTTTCTCGATGAAACATCCACATCTGAGCCTGGTGGAGTTCTCTTGTGAATTTTTCATATTCCTTTAACTGTTCGCAGCTCCTCAATATTCTTTCACTTCTTTTGTTGTATTCTTTTTCAATTTACCATTTACACTTTTTCTCCGCATGGTAAACTGCCCAACATTCAGCGTTAGTTGGGGTCCTTTTCTTTCTTCCTTGAACATTGCCTATCAAAATAGTGGTAACCAAATTTAACATAAAGAACCAACCAATTTTAAGAAATAACATACAGAACAAAACACTTCAATTGAAGGGCGAGCCAAGGTGAAATAAAAAATCACAGAAAAAAATTTCTTAACAAGATTTTTTTTCATCACAATGATTATGAAAAATAGCAAAAAACCAACACCCAAAAAAGAAATGATTTTTTTTCAACAGAAATTTTCAAATCCGAAGAGATCCCATGTATGTATGTATCACCACATGCAGTTAAAATTTCAATATACAAAGAAATGACTTGTTACATTTCCCTTTGTTTCTTCACAAAGGACTTAATAATTTACTCAACTCTTAGTATTTCATGTATGTCAAAGTGAAGAAAAAAAAAGGTGAAATCCTAAAGCAAGATATTATCAAAATCCCTTAAAACAGAACATCAATCTAAGGTTACTCACAAACAATAGTGAAGAATATATATGTTTTGCATCCAATAATTTCTACATTGGTCATAAAAAGAGTCATCACATCAAGAACTACTGAACAAAATTAAAACAACATTAATCAGCTGCTAAAAGATGGAAATCTAGAAGATAGCATAAAATTAATCAAGAAATTAAAAATTAATTAGAAAAACTCATCTAGTACTCTTCAAGATAAATTAAAAAAAAAAAGAATATTT